TTTATATGGTTTATTTCACTGTATCCTCCTGTCAAATAGTGATTATTCTACACACATGAACTAATGTCATCTAAATTTTGTTTTTAATACATTTTAATCTAATGAGGACTGATGATAGATTTTTTTAAGTTTTAATGTTTGTGGGTACATAGATATATTTATGGACTGCAAGAGATATTGTTGTACAGGTATACAATGTGTAATAATCAGCTTATGGAAAATTGGGTGTTCATCTTTTTATTACTCATACCAGCTTATATGGTACCTGGACCACAACTTTAACAACTGAATAAAAGATAATAATCGGAAACAAAGTGAATGAGAAGACCAACTCATTGGGACTCTGTGGTGAAAGCACAGAGGAAGTTTGCCCCCCTTCTCCTCCTCTCTTCAGTGCTTTCCCAGCCTGGAATCTAGAAAGACATAACATGCCAGAATGCCTTTGTTCCCTGCCTCAGTTCATCAAAGGGCAAACTCGTCTTTCATTTTATAAAAAACATTGTTTTCCTTCCAAAAGTCATATTGCTGGAATCGAAGTAGAAATGGGTTCATTACTGTGAGTAACTGGTGATTTTGAATAAACTGAACTTTACGGGTATGCTCGGAAGTGCAAAAGTAAGAATGTCTCTCACTAAGCATGCTCATTTTTCTGGGGACAGGCAAGAGATAACTTTCATGCAGCAGTAGAGCCTGAGCTGAAGGACTCCCCAACATTACTTTGAAGAAACTTATTTAAACAGGGGCACTGAAACAGACTCGCACCCTCCTCAGTAGTTTCTTGAGAATACATAGAAATATGTGTTGCATCGTGGAGAAGAAAATTTTGGCAAACTGTCACAATAGTATCCCTTTTCTCCCACTGCCACTTCATATGTACCTGTTTCACACACACACACACACACACACACACACACACACCTGGCAGGGGCACAGAACTTTCTTGTATCTAATATTAATGCAGAAAGGGCGAGAAATGTTTATTTATTTATTTTTCTTGCTCTGTCGCCCAGGCTGGAGGGCAGTGGCATGATCTAGGATCACTACAACCTCTGCCTCCCAGGGTCAAGCGATTCTCCTGCCTAGCCTCCTGAGTAGATGGGACTACAGGTGCCCACCACCATACCCCGCCGATTTACTCTTTTTAGTAGAGATGGAGTTTCACCATATTTGCCAGGCCGGTCTCAAACTCCTGACCTTGTGATTCACCCGCTTCGGCCTCCCAAAGTGCTGCGATTACAGGCATGAACTACTGTGCCTGGCTGAAAAATCTTTTAAAAAGTCACAATCAAGTGTTGGGTTACTACGCTGGTGATGTTTATTTCATTGAATGCTTTAGGTATTCCTGGCCACTGTTACATAAGACACATGGGAAATGTTATGAGTGTCAGCAAGCAGCTATCAACCCCACTGGCTTCAGATGCTTTGGGACATGGGGTAATTGACTAGTTTTTCGCAAGCCTTTGTTTCCTTATCTATAAAATGGAAATGTAAACCCTCTCTTCCTCAAAGAGGGGTTGTAAGAACGGAAGAGTCTATGTGTTAGGCCCACTGCTTGACGACATATGTACTCCACAGAGATTTAGTATCGTATTGCACCTAATCCTCACAACACTTCCCTGAAGGAGAAATATTGGCCTAATTTTAAAGACAGACGAACAGAAGTTTCGCGAGTTTAAGTAACCCAAATGAGGACAAAGATTTGGAGTCAGTATTTAGGTTTCCTCTTTCTGCTGGATGCTCTTATATTTCTCTTTTCGAAGGGAATTCAAGGCGCTCCAGGAAGAAAACATATTGGATTAATATTTTAGTTTGAATCCGCGCTGTGGCTTGAAGGTAAGTTGCATATGTAGTTAAGTAACTTTACCTATTTAGATTGCAGTGTTCTTTTAGCTGACAATGATGGGATGAGTGTGGATGCTATCCGAGGTACTTATCATCCTCCACACCAGTGATTTGAAGATATTTTGGGCAGGGCAACCTTCTTGGCTGCCTTCCTTGTATTGCTTTCATTGTTCACATGGGCAGAAACTGCAAATCATATTCACATTAAATGCTGAAGATAGACCACAGCCAATATGTTTGAGCATGCAGTGCTCATGTCTCACCTTAAAAGGAAGCAATAGGAATAGGGCTTCCAAAAAAAAAAAAAAGGTATGGAAATCTCTCAGGCTCCACAGGCAGATGAGGCATTTTGGTAACAGGAAATTGGGTTGTGCCAGAACAGTGAGAGAGCAGGGAGCTTCTTAGGTGAGAATATCAATCAGATTATTCATTCAACAACCACTCACTCCCTCTTATTCACCAGGCACCATTCTACAACCGAGGATATTACATTGAACAAGAACAAAAATCTCTAAGCTCTTAGGTAGAAGTTTATATCCTAGCAATTCTGGCAGGAGACATGTGATAAACAAATATTCATGCCAGGTGGTGACAGTGCTTTGGAGGAAAATATCACTGGTTCAGACGGGAGTGACTCCAGGGCCAGGTGAGGGAGGTTTTCCTAAATAGTGTGTTGAGAAAGGGCCTCTCTGTGATAGGAGTTTGGGAACTAAGACCTACACAAGTCACTGATTCATGGGAGTATAGGAGGATAAGCACTGGAAGAGAGGGAACTGGAAGGACAAAGGCTTGAGCTAATGAGGCAAACATTAAAAAAAAAAAAGAAAAGAAGTTTCATGGAAGAGTTTCAAGAACTTGACAGGCCATGGGAAGAACAACATAATAGCAAAGGAACCTGTAACTGTGACATCCAGATCGAGTGGAAGGAGCCTCACTCTGATGCTCTTCGATAGTTCTTGCCTATAATATTTCTCAGCCCAAGTCATCAACTTTAAATGTGAATTGCAAAGGACTTGATGACTGATATGTTGAAGCCTTATGTGAGGCAAGCTGAAGGGTTCTGCAGAGTTCACTGTACTAGAAAAACAGAACTCACTTTGGAGTTCAGAGGTCGTTTGTGTTTAAGTAATATTGATGCTGTGAATGAGCAGGAAGAAAGATCCTTGAGTTTAATTAACTACTAGTTTATACACTTTTCATGTTCTAAAGTTACTGGGATTAATGGATAAAACAGAATGGCAGCCAGATGCGGTAGCTCATGCCTGTGGTCCCCAGCACTATGGGAGGCCAAGGCAAGAAGATCACTTGAGCTCCAGAGCCTGGGGTTGCAGTGAGCTGTGATCACACCACTACACTCAAGCCTGGGCTACAGAGCAAAACACTGCCTCTCTCTTTCAAAAAATAGAATGTCACAAATCAGTTTAGGGGAACATTTTAGGTGTAAGCTTCACTCCTGTGCTGATAAGCACTTGTGCCAATATTTGGATTTTTAATTTATTTAAAGCCCTGTTGGATAATGGGAAGGAATAATGGGTTTTGCATTAAACAAATGAGAATTTGAGGCTTGGTTCCATCATTCACCAGCTGTATGACCTTGAGCCTGCCACTTAAATTTTCTGAGGCTAGTGTTTCACCTGCAGATCATCATTCCTACTTTTAGAATGTATAGGAAGGAGTGATGCATTAAAGCATCTGGTATGTAGTAATCACCTAATCATTGATGACCTTTATTATCCAGCAAACGTCTATGAAGTACGAAGTGCCCTCCATGGAGGCACAGTAGGACTAGCTAGATTACCAAGGCATGATTTCTGCCCTCTGGAAGCCTACCCCTTAATGGAGAGAATGTATACCCACATGGGTATCATATAATACCTCATAAGTAGGAAAAATACCATAAAAACACAAAAAAGATAGACTTGATCTAATTCTGGTTGAAGTTTCATGAAAGAGTTTTAAGAACTTGACAGGCAGAGATGGTGTAGAAAGGTTTCTCTAAATAGACAGAGCAGTTTGAGCAAAGGCCTGGAAATGGAAAAGCCCCGAATATGTTTGGGTAAAGGAAGCTGTGCTGTTACGTAGAGTGTATTGACAGGGTCAGACCACCGAGGCCCAATCCTCAGGGAGGTACTGGATCATGGAGAGACCAGGATGACCTTCAAAGGAGCTTCAACTTTGTTCTGCAAGCAAATAGGGAGCCTTGGAAGGTTTCTGATTAAGAGAATAATGAGAGATTAATTCCTCTGGCAACCCAGCAAAACTGAGTAAAACATAGAGACACTTTTGAAAAACACTTGAGGTGGTAGTGATTGAGCACTCTTTTCTAGAAGTGTCGCTTCTAAAAGTGTCATTAATTCCCTCAACAGAGTGATGAGCTAGGGGCTGTTTTCATGCCTCTTTTTACAGATGAGGACATTAAGACATAGAGATGTTAAGTAACTTACCTAAGGTCACACAGCTAGTAAGAGATCCCAGTGGTCTGCCTCTGGAGTCTATATTCTGAACTGTTATACTCCCCTGTCTCAAAAGCCAACCCCAAGTGAAGGATGCTTGCATTCTACCCTGCTCTGCGTTTGCCTCGTCTCTTTGCCCTCTTCGGTTCTCAGTTTGTTCATCTATGAAACAGGAGACTTGAACTGGCTTTCTAAGATGCTCTCTCTCTTGCATTTTTTAAAAATTCTATATTTCATTGTGGACTTAGTCTATTTGGACAGAGTTAGGAGGAGGGAAAAAGATAAAATAGTTGTGCAAAACAGAGAGACAAAACTTCAGCTTTTTTTCTTTTTCAGATGTTTTTTTCTTCTCAAACTTTTCCTAGCTCTAAATTTACTTAAACCATTATTTATAAAGCATAGAAGGAACACATTAAATACTGTATCTATTTTGGTGTACTGATTGGTACCAGGTAGTGCATAGGAGGTAGCTGCTAACCTCTAAAATACTATGCAAATATGATGAATACTTATTAGTTTATTATTCCCATGCCGTGAAAAGATATGATAGTTACTAATCAAACCAGAATATTAGTTCTGACTGAGACTGAGCTTTCAGATAAGGTGACTCATTGAAAAGAAAGTCAACATGGAAGGACTCCTTAAGCCTCCTTTCAATCTGCGCTCAGTGAGATGGGACAAAATACACATTTGGATCTTCCTTACTGGTCAACAATGTCACTGAAACAGCTGAACGCAAGTTGTCACTCCACCTCTCAGCGTTTTCAGGTTTTCCTCCGTATTTCAAGGTGCGGGGGGCTCTGCTCCCTGTCTGCAGCGGGAGTCCAGCCCTTGCTTAGGTTCTCTTGTTTCCAAGGCAACTGGCCGGCCCAACGAAGCCACCGGTGGCGGCGGCGCGGGCGCGCGGAGTCCCGGGGCGCAGAGCCGTCTCCGCCGCGCCGGGCCTCCGGTTTCCTCGGGACGTTCCTGCTGACCTGCCGGGTCCTCGGGTGATCTGCACGCGACTTCATGCGTGGCTGTCTCTCTGTGCGGGAGTGACAACCAGGAAGCGGATAATTCCGACAGGCCCGACTTTATCCGGCTGCCACTTCTGGCCTCTGCTACAGCAGACAGGATGAATGCATTTTCTCTCACTCACGCCCTTTTTCTCAGCCTCTCCATCTCCTTTCCCTTCTCTCTCTCTCTCTCTCTCTCTCTCTCTCTCTCTCTCTCTCTCTCTCTCTCTCTCATGCGCTCTCCTCCTCCCCTTTCTCCAGCAGTAGCCTTCTTAATGTAGTTTAATGGCTTTACAAAGAAAGCCAGGCAGAGGAGCACTTCTCAGTGGCTGTGGTCGGACCATGACCTAGCTGACCATGAACTTGGAAGGGCTTGAAATGATAGCAGTTCTGATCGTCATTGTGCTTTTTGTTAAATTATTGGAACAGTTTGGGCTGATTGAAGCAGGTTTAGAAGGTAAGGGAGTGCTTTTCAGTGACTTCTAAAAATTCTCTGTTTTGCCATGAAAATGTCTTAGGTGAATGTAAGAGGCACCTGAAATGAGATGAGACAAATGTGACTCTGGGATGGACATGAAGGAAGCCAGGGTCTTCCGGGGAGCAAAGATTAATGAAATAAACTTTTTGTAAGTTGCAATAATATTTTCACAAAAGAATGTTAAAACTGTGAGAAACACTTTGGATCAAAATGTCAGGACCGAAACTGAAGTGATGAAGGGTTTATAAAGGATATGCCTGCTTATTTTGAGAGTATTTAGTCCATACTTATGTTTCATTATTTTATCTAATATCTCCTCTTATTGTATTGGCAAATTTTATTTGGGTATATTGTGAGATCACTCGTTTCGTGCTATGCATTTGCATTCATCAAATGAAAGTAAATAGACATAATTTCTTATGGTCTAAGATTGGAGCCTAAGAATGACAGGCTTTTCATAAGGTCATCTGGAGAAGTGTTTATAATGTTACCTATTTTTACATACTAACAGAGACTCTAAGGGGAAAAGACTCGAACTCATGTAACAGACTTTACATATATTCTAGATAGCCAATTGTTTTTCGAGTATTGCTGTTTATGTTCATTAGAGGCTTCTTCTGTTCTCCTTATCAATTATCTCTTTGTTTAAACACTAAATTTTGTATTAGCCCTTATTGTTTCCTAAATTAAATGTTTCTCTGGGAATCTGGGTAAATTTACACTGTAAATTTCTAACTACTCAGAACACATTTGAGAGTGTGTTTGCATACAACCAGTCGTTATTTATCTAAAGTTGACAGAGCGATTTTAAAAGAAGCCCTAGATGAGGTTTGACGTAGTTATGTTTAGGCATTCTTCTTGCTTCAAATTTTAAACTTAAGTAAAAAGGAAAATATGTTATAAATGTATTTACATCCACAACTAATCCTGTTCTCCAGAGAATGGCTGCCACAGTGTAACATAAATGAGATTTCATTTACCAATAGCAAACATCAAATTAAAATAAGTGTGTCACTCTGATGTAGGTTACCAGAAACCTACATTTATAACTCAAGGGGGCAGGGGTGCAGGGAGCAGGAGGTGGGGGATGGTGGAGAGCTGGGTTTGTTTGCTTAATTTTATAATAAGTTGCAGAATGCTTTTGGCAGCCCTCTCTGATGAAAACATCTGTAGTTCTAGAAAGAGGCTAAATTCTAAAATCTAGAAGTGGTCATTGCTCTTTAAAATTGACTTCATGTTGTACATTTTCATGAAACCGGTAACTTGGTTTGGCTTCTCTGTTCATGCATGTGTGTTATTTTAGTTGGCAAATATGATTGGGACATCCCATGGTAATGCAGTTTTTTATTCTCTCTGGGACTTACAGTTCATGAAATAGCCTCAGAAATCCAGCTTTGTTGAGGGGCTTGTTTTATCTTATTTCATGGATGATGTGTGGTCATTCTTTCAGCTCTTGTGTTGAGGGCTTTGACTCTGGATTTTGGTGATGACACCAACTCTAGTATTGGTTTTGCTTGTTTCAGGAACACAAATATTCACTCTCCCAAATACGAACTTGTGTTTCTTTCCTCTAAGAGCTACTAAACTCTATGAAAGTCTTTCTTTACTATTATTATTAAATTCAAAGCTGTACTAATTTGCATGAACACTTTATCTCTTGTATTTTACCTTTTACAATATCAGCATTCTTCAAGCCAATCTTGGAGTAATACTATGGAGAGAATGCACTATTTCAGAAACTTCTATATAAACTTTACATATGATTTACAGTGATTGTTAGGAAGTAATTTTAAATGGTAAAATGTTGACAATCACATTAAGTAAACATTATTTAATACATAAACGCTAATAGAGGCAAAAAGCAGTCGTACTTTTTATTTTGAAGTCTGCATAAGACAAATCTCCAAAGTGAATCTTAGCGTGAGAAGACCTTTAAAACTAGATTTAAGTTGACTATATACTTTGCTAGCTGGAGATATAAAACAAATCAATAAATTGATATAACTCATTGTATATAGTTTATAGATCAGAATGTGTGCACTCTACAGTTACAGCCAAATTTTAATTAATAAAATGATAAGCAATGTTTATTATAAAGCTAGCATCTTCATAGTTTTTCTGAAACTTTCTTAAAAAAGGTACCAATGCTCATTTCATTCAGATTTATTTTCATCTAGGAGTTCCTTTCCTCCCCCATCATTTTGCATGTCTAAGATAATGATTTACTTCACCTTTGTTATTTCTGTCTGCTCAATTGTCCTATGAAAGAATTTGAGTATTAAGTAGAAAATCTTGAACCTACGTTAAAGTCTTATGAGGATGATTGTGAACTTTTCCCCTAAATCATTAAACTCATGTGAACTTACAACTGTTTTACAGTATACACAATATTCAGAATATAGTTTTTCTTTTCTTTTGGTATTATGATATTTTTATTATCCATTATGTTCTGAAGGGCATATAAAATACAATGTTTGCATAATGTAGTTATATTGCTTTTTAGCTATGTACAGAATACATGTACTTCAAAATAAATTGGTAATGTAAAAGTCTAAAATATTTGTATTTGCTTATCTTTGAGTGCTTTGAGTTCTCATTCATTGTAGAAGACAGGGGTTAGGTCCCTAAATCTTGGGTCCTGTTCTGATCTACATATGATATTCATGAATGCATAATACTACACAGAAATCCATGCCATATATTTATAAACTAAGAGTTACAGTTATTCTTTCAGCTGAGAACATAAAATAATAGTTGGAGCACAAATGCTTATGCCTTCTCTGCCACTCTCTTGCTTTCTCTAACCTTGGATAAGTCACTTTACCTCTGTAGTTTTCTAGTTTTCTAAAATGAGAAAACTGGACTTGATAATCTTCATGGAACTTTCCATTTCAAAACTTCAGTGAGTTTAACAGGTAATTAAAATTTGAGAATTTATGTAACACATATTGTTTATCATAAAATAGATATAGTGGCCTACTTTGGAATTGATAAACAGTGTAACCGTTAGACTAATCTTTCCTCCTCTTCCATAGTTGGATAATTCATCATACCTCAGGGAAATATTCATTGTATTTCAAAAGAATAGTGAAATGTCCTTTACTGTAGCTCTAAAATTTGATATTTGGGACTGCTATTTCAAGCATCCTCATGATACGGTTTCTCAAAACTTACACAGAGTTCCAATAACAAATAAGCACATCATATTGTTATTTATTAACTTTTTGGCAAAAATTCCATTCAATGTCATTAAGTTTTCTTTTTAAGAAAAGTAATCTTAATGCCAGTTCAGTCGGTATGAAAATAATAGTGGGAAGCAGACTTCTAGGGATAACACACAATACCAATCACCAGTGTTTTAAATTCATAGACTCTCTCTACTTAGTGGGGAGTTAAGGAGGCTCCAGATTTATGTTGGTTTGGAATACTCCTGAACCCTCACAACAGTAAATTGCCTTTTTTTTTCCAACTATAAAAATGAAAGTGGTTTTCTGTTAATGCATTCCAAGGAGAAATTGAATCAAAATTTTAATGGCAAAGTGATTTCATTATCTCTATACGTAAAGCTTCACTGTGGAAATATCTACTTTTCATCTAAATATGTATTAAATTATGCTGAAGCAGTTACTAAATGAAGAAAGAACCATCCTTCTACCAGTCTTAGTAAAAGCAAAATTTCACAAAAATTAACACACATGACTTGAAAAAAAGTCACTTTTATTGATACTTATCTTTGATAAAAAGACAAAAAGAAATCAACTGGGAATCTAAGTCCTTCTTAGGATAAGCAGTAGACTGTCTTTTGTTTTTGTGCAACTCATTTTATTTAGTAGATACCTGTCGTGGTACTGTAATACAAGCTTCCTCAAGAGACTTAAACAAGGTATTAGCTATCTATGCAAAGATGGATTTTTAGAACCCAAGTTATTAATTCTCCTGTGCTGTTGACAGACGTGGAGAAGTGCTGGATCTGTCAATAAATTGGGCAAACTGAAAAACATCACTGACGTTGTGTCCAGACCATGATGCTTAATAAGGACCAAGGGGCTAGAGATGACTAGCAGGGGCTGATTTCCATCTCAAATAGCTTAACTGAAATTCATAGAGTCTTGCTCTAATTCTCCCAGCATTCTGCTTCCCCCAGTGCAATAGCATGCCAGTGCTATGTGTTTTGGGGTATCAGAGAAGTCTTTGTAAACTGTAAAGTTTAAGAAAGATTAAAAATACTTTATATTAGAAAACTTAAACATACAATCTGTTTACACCATCTAAGATTGAAATAAAGAGAATACATATAGTATCTACCTGTCTTTAGGGTCTCTTACGATTAATCTTTTCTTATTTCAAGAACATTAGGCCTAAAAGGGGACTACTGGAAGAAGAAG